AATTCCAAAGTACAACATTTGCCTTAATCCAGGGGTATCCAACCTTGGCAACTTCAATACCTGTTGACTTCAACTGCCAGTTTCCTTATCGGTGGCCATGCTGGCGGTGGAATTCTGAGAGTTGAAATCCTTACACCTAGAAATGGCCAAGTTTGGGAAACATTATCCAATGACATCTTTCAGGCAGTTTTCACACTTTGGAGGATCACATCACTTCTCTTGAAAAGAATGATATAATTTTGTCTACATAGTAATTACAGTAGATCTTAGTTGAACTACAGCGTAAGATGTTACATCTGAGGAGTCCCTGTCAGGGAAGGAGAAGCACACCTTTAAAAGAAAAGCTCAATTTGGGTTAATTATCTGCTCTCTCCTTGTTACCACCCAGGTGTGCACAGATGAAGAATGAAGCTATGCACATGGTTGCCTGTACTCGGGTGAAGTATTTTTGAATCACTACTATATGTAATATTTACATTTGGACTGTGTTAAGACACAGGATATGACTCAAGGCCTAACATGACTGAAGACTGCACAAGTGACAGGCGTCACTTTTACTGCTGCTGCTGTTCGTTTCCCTTGGCACCTGTTGTTCCCTTGGCAGCCCCCCTGAGTTTAAAGAAGCTGCATGTTTCAGTGAAAGTGCCATTACTACTGTATAATGGACCATGAACTTATTTTTGTCCTTTCTCTGTTTCTCAGATGACTGAGAACTGTAATGTTAATATGTAGGATTTTTGAGCTTTTTAGGTTCAAAAACAAAGTTAGTGTTATATCAGGCAGTCTGAACCTTATTTTTAATCTCCTGTTTGTTGAGTGCACTGACTGTGAACTTCTACTTTTCTGTTTTTGTTTTGTTTTTTATTGGCCAGCTTGATTTGTTATGCGGACATTGATTGAAGAATAAATTTAAAAGCTTTTTCTCAATAAATGGTTTATTTTAGGAAGTCTTTTGTTTCCTATTTTGTTTGAAGCTGATACTTAAAATGGCTTTATCCTCCTCAGGAGTCTTATGTGAGGGTTGCCCTTGTGTTTCAACGGTGTAGCTAATTTGGGCTATAGTTTGGATAGGCTTTTAATAATTTGGGGGAAGTAACACCTTTACTCTTGCTCACAGTTATGCTTATGTCTGGCCACTAAAGATAAACTGAAGTGTGAATCCAGCTCTTCAGATGTAATTGATGTATATGTTGTTCACCTGCAGTTATAGTCTTCAGTGACATATTGGGCTGTGGGTTTAACTCACTACTACTACGCTAGCTCTTTCTCCCCAAATCAAAATTCAGAGTTGCAAGTGTAATGAAGCTTCTATAAATAATTCCTTTAAATAGTTCAGGGGTTCATTTCCTTGACCAAATAATACCAAGTACCAAATTCGTCTCATAGAGAAAAGTAGTTATCAGCTAAGACTAGCTAAGTTGCATATGATTATCAAAGCAAAAGTCTAGCAAAGAAGAGTCTAATTCAATTCATGCACATTTGGCTACCGTTATAAGGGCTTAAAGTTAATGTTCACAGTTCTCTTACACAGACTTAATCGCTAAATTTTAATCTTTGCTTTTTAACTCCTATACTTGTTTAAATCAGATGTGGCTTCTCCCTGTACAATATCCATATTTACAGTTCTTTTAAAGACACATGCATCACTCTTGATATCGTATGCTTATATTTAGCTCTGATTTCTCAGCACCCTTCTATTTTGTTAATGATGTGTTGAAAAATACATTTACAACTTCATATCTAAGTATACTGCTATTTTAGCAACAATTAAGCTATATGGAGGTATTCGTAACAGAATCCTCAAATCCAGAACAATTTTCCCCATTAAAACACATAAGTTAGTTGAGGTTTACAGTGGGATATAATCTTGTTTGGCATTTGTATATTACGGTGACATGGCATCTAGGGTCACTTTGGTTTTTTTAGACTGAGAAACAATGCTTGTTCAATGAAGCACTAAATATTTAATTTTGCATTTCATTTGGTTCTGGAACTTGAAAGAAACTAAGCAGGAACAAGGCAGCCTTGTAAAATAAAGTAATCCTGCTGTACATGGAATAAATTTTGTTTCCAAGAAATACATCAAAAACAGCACTGGGCAGTTGGTATCCAGTTGGTATTCTGATCAATATTATCCATTGAAAACAGAAGTTCAAGAAGAGATTCGTTCTTCAAGTAAACTTTGAAAAGTGGTAAATAAAAGATTGGGGAATCATAAGTCCATTAGAGTAATAAATAGATTGGTAAGTAATGGATTAAGTGCAGCAGTAAAGTGAAGTGTTTTGGAAATCTCTAGCATAGTGGAAAAAGGAAACCAAACGAGGGAATTTTAATACATTATTTTAAATGCCTCCATACTACAAGTAGTCCTTACGACTAGAAGTGAACGCAAAATTTCTATTGCTAAGAGAGACAATTGTTGAGTTTTATGACCTTTCTTGCCAGTTAAGTGAATCACTAGTTAAGTTAGTACTACAGCTGTTTAGTGAATCTAGCTTCCTCACTGACTTTGCTCTTCAAAAGATTGCAAAAGTGATCCCTGGGACACTGCAACCATCATAAATATGAGTCAGTTGCCAAACATTTTGATACCATAGCCATGGAGAAGCTGCAGTGGTCGTAAGTGTGAAAAAGAGCCGTAAGTCATTTTTTTTCAGTGTCGTATGTTCAAACGGTCAAGTGAACTGTTGTAAGTTGAGGACTACTTGTATATCGGGAATGAATTTATCTGCATACAGGTCTGCTGGATTAATGGTAACAGACCTGTTGAAAGCAACTGGGCTAAAATAAAAGGGCAAGCTAATCCAAAGAATCTGTTGCTTGGAGTCTGCTATAAATCATCAAAGCTGTCAGAAGAGAAAAAAGCAGGATTGATGTCTCAAAAAAATTGAAATAGTTTTGATGAAAGATTTCAACTGTCCAGGTATCTGCTAACAAGGCTCATTCTGCCAAATGTACCGGCTAAATTACTGTGTTGCTGATAATTTTCTCTTTCAAAAGTATTAGGATGGCTCTGTTATGTTGGATTTGGTCTTTGCTTAAGGTTCACTGAGTATTTTTAAATAGTTGGGACATTGGGTCACTAACTACTAAAAATACATTACCTCAAGCAATGGATTTTAGAATGCTAAACAAACCATTGTAGTATAAAAGTTGGTTTGTTCCTTAAGCCACAGAACTATAAACTTTTGTTTCCAAATGAAAATAGCAATAATTTTCAGGTTTATTTGGTCTAAATCAAACAATCTACATTACAGTCTAGAGCCGTGATGGTGAACCTATGGCTCATGTCAGGGGTGGGATCCGACAGGGTTAACTACTGGTTTGTTGATTTACGATGTGCTTCCCTCATCAGCCTGGCGCCTGGACAGCTGAGCAACGCTGCGTGCCGAGAAGCAGCCTTTGAAAAAGCCCTTTTTTCCTGCTTTTTAAACTGCAGCTATGCCTCGCACGGCAGCTGAAGTTGAAAAAAAAATCAGGAAATAAAAGTCAGGAAAGAGCCCGGGTGGGCGGCTGGGCAAAAACATCAGATGACATAGAACCGGTCCTATGTCTGCTGCTCTTCAGAGCTACCGGTTCTACAGAGGTGGACAGAACCGGTAGAACCCCCCCCCCCCCCCCCCCCCCCCCAGAATGGGCCGGCAGAGCCCCTTCCGCCGGTGAGGGGTCGGCTGGAAGAGCCCCACCTCCTGCCAGCCAGCTAACTGTTGGGTATCTGCTGCGTATGGGGAGACGTGCACGCATGCGCAGAGGCATGCAACATGCAGGGGGTTGCGTGTGCATGCACAGAGCGTGCAGTGCAGGGTTGCATGCACATGCGCAGGTGGGCGGGAGTCACATCATGGGTGCAGGCACGTGAACTCCAGCGCAGTTTTGGCACAACGTGGAAAAGGTTAGCCATCACTGATCTAGGGTAATTAGACTATGATAAACTCCACAAGGAGACATTATAGCAGCAGTGCAGATCTATATATTAAAGGAGCCATAGTACTATCCAAGCTGAGATAAATATTGTCAATATCTTAATATAATTTTCATGATCAATATCTATATATTAGGAATACAGCCAATGTAACACCTGTGTTTAAAGTTGAAATGTGATTCTAGAAAAGTCAGGCCAATTTACTGTCCAATTTGGAAAGTAGTATTAAAGATAATATTGTGCATATAGAAAATAAGTTTTAGTGTATAAGTTTCTAAAGAAATAACTTCTCTCGCTAATGTTTTGAGTTCCTTGAGAATGTTGATGTATGAGTAACTGCATTGTGCTGGATATTTATATAAATGGATTTTCAAACAGCTTTTTCTTTCAGTTATTCATACATCAAAATCTTGGGATTTAAGAGGCAGTCTCATATTCATAATGAACAAGAAGCAAAAAAAAGTAAAATTGTTTTTTACAGTAGAAGAATACAAGAAATAGATTTTTTAAGGATATGTAAATATGACTGGAAATGTTAAACCTTTCCAAATATAATAAAGGATTTAGAATGAATACTTGGAGCGAAGTCTGCAAAGAAATTAAGTGCAAATTAAAAAATGGGATTGCAAAATAAAAGGGAAGTGCATTTCACTTCACTTTCTGAAGTGAATTGAAAACAAACTGGTAATAAAAGTGTCTTGGCAAACTGAAAACAAATGTTAGGAGGAAAGCCTTCCTATTTTTATCAGGCTGGCCAAAGGATAAATATTTGGATAGTGCCAAGTAGTTCAGTGAAAGTACTACTCAAGAATCACTCATTGGTTAAAACAATTACTTCCACAAAAATAAAGAGATTAGAAGTGAAACTAAATAAATTAAAATGCATTTGGAATACAAGCTTCATAAGAAGTCTCTGGGCTTTCCAGAAGCCGCTTGTTGGTCACAATTGGGAAATCGGCTACCAGACTAGAAAGAACGAAGTAAAATAGTTCTTAGTTAATTATATAAAATACTCATTTTGGTCATCTTATAGGAAAGTAAATTTTATTTCATATTTTAATCCATTAAAGATTTATTCAGAAAAAAAAAATATTCATTCATTCATTTGCTTCCTTCCTAATACTATGTCTGCATACTTTCTCTTCGTTAATTAAAAAAAAGAATGGTTTCTCTGGAAAATCTGAATTAAAGAAAAGTATAGAAAAATAAAATAAAATAAATTGCAGAATATTGACTTTTGTTGCCAGCTGGAGAATCGGAGGAGATGGATAAGAGAAGAGATGAAGAGATGTGACTTCAGTGGAGGCATCAGCTTTCTCTAACAGATTCCTGGTCTTCATGACTGAAGACTGTTCACAGCAGTTCACTAGCTTGTTCCCTTTGGGTATGAAGCAGTCTCTGGAGATTTTCACTTTTGCTTCTCCTTGTGTCCCTGGTGGCCGTAAGTTGAGCCTTTGTTAATTTCTGTTACTCCTATCATCCATCGAACACCAACTGAAACTGAATTTTTTTTTAAAAAAAAGAGGATATCTGCTGTTAAACAACTACAATTAGAAAACTAAGAGCAAATTTGCTCTCATATATGAAAGCATATACAAACTTTATATTGCAGTATTAGTAGTCTACCATGTTATGCAAAGAAAGAGAATTTATTTGGGATATCATGCTAGAAATAAATGTTTTTCGTCTGTAGTTTTAAAAATATTCCAGGAGAAAAGATAGGGACAAAAACACACAAGATGATTGTCAGATACTTTGTTCAACTAGATGGATTGCTGTACAATACTGTCCACTTTATCTCATTAAAGCAGCTATATCACTAATTTGAAATCATTTACATATCCCTTACTGGAAATGGTTTTTGTGTGTTAATTGGTTAAAACAATATAGCAATTTCTCCAATGAAGAGTTATTTTAAAAAAAAACACCTGATGTCAAACCTGATTGGTGGTGTCAGGAAACCAGAAGCCAGGACAGAGTTCAGAAAGTACTGCAAGTTTATTCCATGCAACCTACTGTATATACAAAAATCTGATCTACTAATGGTCAAGGTAAATTGGTGCCAGCTGAGAGTCAATGACTTCGGGGGGTGGGGGGTGGACTTGGGTCTCTTTTGGGGGTGAAATGACTCCAGACTGACAATGCACTTGACCCAGGCCTTGGGCATCTTACAACTGGCTAGTTTCGGGGCAGTAAAATAGAGAATGCTACATGTACAGTTCAAAGGTCTCCTGAACATCAAAGGTCGGTCACTAGCCTGTAACCTTTTGATATTTAATGACTTCTAAAAGCATGATCCTTCCATAACCTAGTCAATTTTGCATCCTATAGTTGCAAGGGTATTATAAGTTAACTTCTAAAACTCTTCTCCCTTAGTAACAGCAATGTCTCTTACAGCATAAATTATTGCCAAGCATTTTGACAGGATTTAAATTCATCAGCTATTCATAAATACAATAAAATATTATTTGCAGAGAGCACAAATGCTGTCATCATTCCTCCATCCCAAATATATATTCACTTGTTACAGAATAGCATGGACTATGTACAGAAAATTCATTGTGGTATTAGAAAGACTGATTCATGTAAGCTTAACAGTTTTACAACAGGCTATTAAATAATCATAAACACACTTCCAAAGCAGAATAATCAACCACCAAATACATCAGGAGTCTCCAACCTTGGCAACTTTAAGACTTGTGGACTTCAACTCCCAGAATTGTCCAGCCAGCATGACTAGCTGAGGAATTCTGGGAGTTGAAGTCCACAAATCTTAAAAGTTGCCAAGTTTGGAGACACTTGAAATACATCATTTGGTGAACACACTTACCAGCTCCAGCTAGGGAAATCCAAGAATCTGACAAATATAAGATATATGATTCCCATTATATCAAAATAGTTTTGAATGAGCACAGTTAAAGCTACATTGGTCATAAAAACAAGAACTCAAAGCACAAACTAGTGTACAAATGACAATGCTTTTTGCATAAACTATATTATTTCAAGTCAATTTGTTGTGGAAAATACAGCTATGGTAATATAAAGAAATTACTGTTTTCTTCTTAACTGAAACCAGTAATAACCAAGAGAGAGAGAATAGCACTAGAAGTTCAGTTTTCACAATATCTCATCCCATCTCTGTTATTCTAATGGACCTGAGTGAGATACTCAGTCCTGGGTCAGCTCAAACAATTTCACTTACTGCTGTCTAGCCTTCTTCAAGATTCTTAACCATTAGACTCCTAGCAGAGGCCTAGAAAGGAGGAGAAAGTAAGAGAGAGAAAGGAAACAGATGCACAGGAATGCATGCACCGTTCAATTGAAACTGCATGCTCATGCACTTATATAAAAGACATTGTGTTGAGCTGACTGTTGCAGAAATTATTGAAAAGAATCCATACTCTAGTATAAGGTACAGGATCGTTTTTTAAAGGGTATGGGACCGGTCATTTACTGTTTGCCTTGTTTAATAGCCATTTCAAGTTACAATGGTTGGGGAAAAACCTGCTTTGTGACCACTCCTTCCATTTAGTCGCTACAACATCCTGCAGTCATGTGATCGCCATTTGGATCCTCGCCCATTTACAACAATCACAGCATCCTGCTATCACCTAATGGTCATTTGTGAGCCTCACAACCGGCTTCCAATAAGCAGAATTAAGGGAAAACACAGAAGTGAAATCACAAGCCATTAATTGAAATGTGATGTCTCGCTTGATGTCCACGGTGATTGCTTAATGATGGAAGTGTGAGTGAACTATAAGTCACAAGATTATTTTGCTTAGAGACCAGGACACTCAGTAACAAGTTTCCAGTCCCAACTACTGTTAATAAGCAAGGCCTGTTTGTACTTTCTATTCAATTACGTTACTAATCCAGAATCCATTTTAATTCTTGCTGCAAACAGATAAGAGGGAAGGGACTAGTTTAGAGAACTATGTGTGAGAGACAGGTGTGCAAGGTAAAGAACTAATCTCAAAATGTCTTAAATATATGACCAACTTCTGTGCAATGTGGTCATAATGCTTCTAATAATAATTTCATGTTTAGCTGAAACTGAACTAGATGAATTAGGTATTAATAAAGGAGAATATCTGGTGCTCAGGTTGAAAGGAGGGGTCTTTGCTATTCTCTCAGCTGGGGTTGTTTTGTTTTGTTTTCTGGGCAGACATTTCATTCATCACTGATGATATTACCTAGTGTGGGCAATTGAAATCTCTGCAAGAAAACAACCAAGCTCAGAATTCTATATTTTTGAACAGCAGCTATTAGAAGGCTAATATACTGGCAATTACCTGGAAAATGAAAACTATGGAAAATAAACATCAAGAGGAAACAAATATACTTGAGACTGTGATAGCAGCCACTAGCACCACATCATTCGGAGACTTCATCAGTCAATTACATATGGGACTTCCCTGTAGAGCAGGGATGTCAAACTCTTTATTTCATTGTGTTGACCACAGGGGGCCATGGGGTGGGCGTGGCTGGGATGGGCCTCACTGGTCGAGGTTCCATTTTTAGCCATGGCTGCTTCCTGCAGCCCTCTGCCAGCGAAAATGAAGCTTGGAAAGGCCGCAAACAGCCCGGGCGGCCAAAAACCGAACCCGGGCAGGCTGCATGCGGCTTCCACAAGCTTCGTTTTTGCTGGCAGAGGCACTGTGAGCCAGTCCTTCATTGTTTCCAGAGTGGCCTCATGGGCCAGATCTAAGCACCTTGTGGGCCTTGAATTTTGACACCCCTGCTGTAGAGGATACTTTGTCTGTGCAGAAGAACAATCCTTTCACATATGGTGCATATGATATCCACCATCATGTACAGAAGAAAACTTCATGCTGGTGAGAGAAAATGCTGTTGATGTGGTCAGCATTCATCCAATCAAACTGTTGATTGGATGAATGTCGTTTAGTTTTAATCCTATTTATTTTACATACTTTTATAGGCGCTATATTTCTATGACCTAGGTTACACTTATTTTACATGCTCAAATGTTGAACATTATATGTCTATAAAGGTGCCTCTGACACAAATAAAGGGGAAAAAAATCAATTATTATCTTAACTCTTCCAGTTGACAAAGTTCTCCCTCTGCTGCGTGGTTTCTTGTAAATTCTTTTGAAACACTCATGTTTACCACAATTGTGCAGCACTCCGGGTTTAAAGGGAAGGAGACGCTTTACAGTGCATGAGACGGTAGCAACTTTATCAGGATTGCAACGTTGCCCTGTACAGTTGTAACATGACCCCAGGCAGAGACATATTCTCTTTTAAGAAGTTGCAGGTAAGTACTACGTATGCACCCCTGTGTGTTCCAAAGGTACCTTTCTACAACGTACTATTATTTTTGAACATCCCAAGCTCATCCTTTGCCTTTCTTGTCTCTTTTTATGTCACTTCTTTTTTTTAGAAATCAAACTGTAGGCAAGGACTCCCCACCCCACCCCCTCTGGTTAAATTCCTCATAACGCCCTTTTAGCTGAAGAGTGGAATAATTTCTATGAATGTACAAAAAGCAACTTTCTAACCTCCCTCATCTACCTAGCACATCATCTAGAAGAGCTCAAATTGAAAAATCTACTGACACAAGAGCAAATAAGGCCCTAAGAAACCAAAACACTTGTCGGTCACAGAAGCCACAGAAGCGTGTTAAGATTTATATCCTGTCTTTCTTTCAGGAGCTCAACTGGACATGCATTCTCCTCATTCTTTACGCAATGAGAAGGGGTAGGATCGTACAAGAGCGAAAGATTGTTGAACTGCTGTGGCTAAGGAAAATCTCAGATCTAATCTTTGTCAACATCTTAACTGCACCATACCAGATCTCTCAAAGGGCCACTATTCTGCTAGGTACTATTAAGGGGACTGATGCAAATTAGCTAAAAGCAGAGACAGAAGATAATATTTATCTATGCAGGACTTTAACCTCAAATGTTCTTTATATGTCCTCAAACCAAATACCTCCTTATCAAAATGACAAATGCCCTTCATTAAGGCAGCAAGTTGCATGTCCCGCTGTCACAAGAAAGCAATACTTAAAGACCATCATGAGGCCAAGTCCAACTTTATTCAACTCCTGGCTATCCAAAGCAAGGTGAATTTTTAAAACTGAATCTCTGGAATTCAAATAGATATTCAAATTATTCTTCCGGAAGAACCAAATGAAATATAAGTCTCAGATTATACTTTAACCCATCTACCATGCTATAATTCAACACCTGGACTTCAGTGCTACTTTGAGATGCATGTGCATTAAAGATGCTTTCCTTATACTGAACGAAAAAAATGTAATAATGTGTGCACACATTGCTGTTTCAAGAGAGCGTATAGTATTTTGCACCCGTTTAAAACATTCTTTCAATAGCTTCTTTCACACTGCTAACAATTTTAACTAAGTGGTCATCTTAATATTTTCAAAAAATAATTTAGGTTGCAGAGTTGAAATAATGCTATATATAAGTGAAAAAGTTCACTTCTTAAAATTACTTCTATCATCAAATTATT